CCCGCCCCCCCCCACAAAGCCCTGGGCCACTGCTACATAACTTGCTGTCCAAGTCACATCCACACATTATCTACCTGAGAATTTTGTGTGTGTATGTCTGTGGGCACAGGGTGACAAAGGGAGAAAGGGAGGAGATAGGAAATGTAGAGAAGAATATAAACAAAATTAAAAGTCTTTGCTTTTAATATTTTCCCTAAGGTTTTATTCCACAAGATCAAATCATTTTCCCCATGAAGTAGTTTTATTCAGTAACAGTTACCTCAAAGCTAGGTGTGGTGAACACCTATAATCCCAGCACTCTGAGAGGCTGAGGCAGGATGATCCAATTTGAGTCTAGCCTGGTAACTTAAGTGATTTTAGGGAGACCCTGTCTCAAAATTAAAAAAAAAAAAATACAGAAGGGCCAGGGATGTGGCTCAGTGAGAAAAGTCTGGATGGTGTGACCATACTGGGAAATAAAAAGAATATGCACAGGCCTATATGAGCTTTATTCAGCCTATATGAACCTTGTTCTTCCAGCCTCCAGTGAACTCAGCCCTGGTGGGAGGCAGCTCCCCAAATGCTGGAGGGAAGTGGACAGCTCTTGGGGTTTTAGTCTGGGCAGCAGAGGAATGGGGTGGGCAGTTGGAGACGTCAGGAGCTGAGTCTGGAGGGTTCCCATGTGGGGTGGCAGTCGGCAGCTGGGGACACAGTGCTGGAGACCCGGGGAGATGCAGACGGCCACACGGTGGGGTCACAGGAGGTGGTGAGGCATATTTGTGTCCATTACGGTGCACGCCTTTAGAAGCCCTCCCGGCCAGGCCCTGGGTGGGCTCCTCTGCGGAGATGAGAGTGTGGGCCTAGCAGGTGCTCCCGACACTGAGGAACACAGCCCGGAGGTGTGCTGGGCGCTGGGGAGCCTGGCTGTGCCGAGGCCCATTGATCCATCCGCACGCGGCAGCACAATCCTTGCTCATCAGCGTTTCCGTTTTTATTTTTTGGCAATGCTGAGACTAGAACCCAAGGCTTTGTGCATTGACATTCTTTTTTTTTTTTTTTTGGTACCGGGGATCGAACTCGGGTCCTTACGCTTGCGTAGCAGGCAGCGAAACCACTGAGCTAAATCCCCAGCCCGAATTGACATTCATTTTTATGCCACCCTGGCCTCCAGATTCATAAAACTGCTGGATGAAACATAATATATAGAAAACCAAGTTTCATTTATTCAAATTAAATTAGGAGTTTCATATACAAATAGAATCTGTGTAAATTTTAAAAATACAAATGCTACAAATTTCAATCCGGTAAAAATGCAAAAATAACGTTTGTATTACGTATTTTCTTAAAATGATGCAGATGTACAGTAGGTGACACAGGCCCCGCTCTCGCGGCCGGCTCGGCTCGGCCTGCGGGCCTTCCTCCGTCCGTCAATCGCTCTCCCCCGGGCGGCGCCACTCTCTCCTGTGGCCTGGAGGTGGCGCTGGGGAGCGCGCGAGGGCGTCACTGGTCCAGCTCGCCCTCGTTCTGCAGCGTCTTCATGGCGAGGCCCCAGAGGGTCATGCTGGAGAAGAACTGCCCCTCCGAGCTCCGGTAGGCCGTGGGGGCCGCGCGGCCGCCCAGGGGGTCCCCGCAGTGGTTGTCCAGCGCAGCCAGCGAGGAGCGGATCATGCACATTCCGTCGGCCTGCAGCGGCTCGCCGCCGGCGGGGGCGTCCTCGTCCGTGTAGGCGTAGGTGGGGTGCGGGGTCTGCGGCGGCCCCGGGGGCTTGGCCAGCCTGCCCGCGGCCACACCCAGCTTCTCCTGCTCGCCCGCGCGCGCGGAGGCCAGGGCGCGCAGTTTGCAGTAGGGCCCGGCGGGGAGACTGTGGAACGCGCCCACGGTGTCCTCGGCCGCGTGGCCCGGGGGCTTGCCCGGCCCCGGCAGCAAGGTCCCGACCGCGTCCTGGGAGAAGGAGTCCGAGCTCTGCGACCTGTCCGGGTCGGGGCCCTCGGCGGCCGGGCCCAGCTCGGGTAGCTCGTCCGCGCTGCCGTCGTCGTCGCCCGCCTTGCTGTGCATCTTCTTGTGGCGACGCAGCACGGCGGAGCGGGTGAAGCACTTGGCGCAGATGTCGCACGTGTAGGGCTTCTCCCCGGTGTGGGTGCGGACGTGCCTGCGCAGGTCGCCTGAGCCCCCGAAGCACTTCCCTGCACAGACAGACAGGCTCTAGGCGCGGCCGCTTGGGACGCGGGGGGGGGGGGGGGGCGCTGTGTCCCCTGTACAGGTGCCACCTGCATCCAGTGGGCCCACTCCTGACGTCCTACGGGGACCCACCACTCCCTCATCCGTCTCATTCGAGCGTCCCCCAGTCTAACAGCAGGTCTGTTAACACAGAAACAGTTTCCCTAGCGCAGGATGACGGTGCACACTTGTAATCCCAGAGCTCTGGGAGGCTGAGGCAGGAGGATGGCAAACTTGAGCCCGGGTCGGGCCATGTAGCTACTCAGTGAGATCCTGTCTCAAGAAAAGAAAGGGGGCTGGGCTGCGGGTATAGCTCAGTGAAGGCCCTGGGAAGGAAGCACCTTTCCGAAGGTAACTGCGGATTCGTCTTTGGCAGGATCACACACACTTCTCCAGGCCCATCATTTCCCCCGGTACTGGGGAGGGCGGGGCGAGCTCCCCTGTGCCCTGCGGGTGTCTGGGTTCCCAGGGAGGCCCGGGAGGCTGTGCACTGAGTTCACCCGGACCGGCACGGCCTCATGCGAATGAGTGGCAAGGGTGTGCGTGGGCTGCAGCTCGGGGAGGCCGCGTGCCTGCCCGCGACCGGGGTGGGCTGAAAGGGGGAGGTCGGGCGAAGCCTGACAGGCCCGACCAGAGGCAGGGCGGCGGAGACGGCTGCGGTTCCAGTTTCCTTCGACTGGGACTGACTGGGAAGGCCACGGCTAGGCTAAGGGGCCCTTGGAAAGGCAGCAGGGGGGCCACAGGTGTGCAACCCCGGTCCCACCCCAGAGCGCCCACGGGGCTCGGCCTGTTTCAGTCCGCGCAGCGCCTTTCTGGCGGCCTCTGCCCTGCTTCCGGCTGGAAACCTCCCAACTGTCCCTTTGCTGCTGTTTGTGGCCTGGACTCCAAGGCCGTGCTGTGCGTCATCTGTAACCGCGCAGCTGACAACCCCGGGTAGAGGCTTTGCCTTTGCTTTCTTGTCCTCAAGACACTCTCAACAGTGGAACTACTGGGCACGTGGGCCAGGCAATGTCAGGGCCCTTAGTGGGCATGGGTTTAGTCATAGCTGAGTGACCAGCAAGAAAGAAGAGGTGGGAGGGGTTTCTCCCAGTGCCTCAGACAGCGGAGCTGCACTGCCCTGTGTCCCCGCCACGCGGAGGGAGGGCACAGCCGAGGGGCACCTGCCTCCTGCAGGGCAGCCCACTGGGACACGGCGGGGCAGAGGCGGCTCCACCCTACCCTGCACTGAGGCCGTGTAGCTGCTCGGGATCCACTAGAACTCCCTGGCGGGGAGGTGGGAGGCCAAGGAACAACCTCTCAAAGGGAGCTGTGGCAAGGCCCAGGGAAGAGGGAGGGCCAGCTGCAAGGAGAGCACAGTCTCCACGGTCCTGGGGAGGTGGGGAGAGAGCTCCTCCTGCCTCCTCCCTTCTGCTAGGTGCAGTCAGAATCCTCCAGGAGAGGGAAGACACACCTTCACCTCACCTCAGCCCACAGCTGGGGTAATGACTTGGAACTGGTATTTTAGATTAGCAATCGAGGCTGAAGTGTGAAGCTGTACTGAGTGATCAGAACGGCCTGGAGTGGCCTGGATTTCCTGTATGTGGTGACAGCGGGGAGCCGAGGACACAGCTCATGCCCGGGTTAGGACGCCAACTGGTCAGGCCGAGCCCCTCAGTGGTACCCGACTGCCTTCCCACTGCGGCACTCTACTCCCAGACGGCCATCAGTCTCGCCCGCACGCGCTCACGCACCCAGGCCCCACGGGCACCAGCCCGCACTGGTCCTGGGCGAGCACACACGTGTTCTCACACACACACACACACACACACACACACACACACACACACGTGCAGCCTCCCCAGGGCCCAGGGTGAGCGGATCCTGGCCCAGCCCCGTGTTCCTGTCTGCGTGCTGAGGCCGAGGGCTGCCCACTTCCTGCTGCTCTTTGCCATGGCCTCTGACTCCCAGGCGGGACCCCATGGAGCCCGCCATCTGGCCCCCAACCGGACGTGCACGCCCGTGCTCCACCAGGGCACCCTCTGGCGGGAGCTGCTGCACATCTCTACCCTCGGGGCCGTCTCTGCACCGGCGTCGGGGTCAGCAGGTGTGGCAGGTGGCACCAGGATGCAGGAGACCACGTGTCACCAGCGCGCCACCTGTGATGAGGCAGCCACTTGCTCGGACACCGTCCAGCGCCCGCCCCTGGGCCCGGGTGCCCGCTCTGGGCCACGGGACTCACCGCAGGCGGAGCAGCTGTAGGGCCGCTCGCCCGTGTGCCGGACCCTGTGCTTCACCAGCTTCCTCTGCATGTTGAAGGACTTGCCGCACTCATCGCAGGTGAACACCTTGTCGGCTGTGTGCGTCTTCTTGTGCTCCTTCAGGTTGCTGAAGTTGCTGAAGCCTGAGAGACACGGGGCGGGGGGGCCAGTGAGCAGAGCGTGGTGACACCGGCGGCAGGAGGCAGCCAGGGAGGGGGCACCCAGCCTCACCTCGGCCGCAGGTGTCGCACAAATGTGGCTTCTCTCCTGAGTGGATGATGATGTGGCGCTGGACATCGCCAGAGGCCGCAAACCTGGAACAGATTAGAGAACTCAGCAAAGAGCCGGGAGCGCGACTGAGGCGCTTTCCTGCTGGAGTCAGGGAGGAGACGGCCTCTCCCCCATGGCTGCAGAAGGGAGTCGGCGGCCTGATTTCATGCGCACTCAAAAGCACAGCTTTCCTTTGCTCTTTCTCATGGCAAGTAGAAAATGATGCAAATATCCTTTTTAAAGCATTTTCCTGTCTGGCTTTATCAGACTTTCCTCCAGCATAAGACCAGACACCTCATGGTTTAGCACCACTACCTCAGGCTAAAAAGACCTAAGAAGGAGCTGCACAGTTCAGAGGCCAGGGACTCGCTCCCATGCTTCGGCCCGCCAGGGTCCCTGGGGCCTCCGGGGACAGCATCCCAGCTCTTCTGCAGCATGATGGCAACTGGGGCTCTGGACACCCAGGAGCCGTGGAGTGGCAGGCCGAGAAGGTTTCTGAGGAAGCCTGGCCCTCCTCGCCTGACTGACCCCACACTGCTGTGTGGGCCAAGTGAGTCCCATTGCGATGTGTCAGAGACGCCGACCTGGCGCTTGCATGTGGAAACCTGAGCCCTTTCCTGTGGCCCGCACCTCACAGGGTAGCATGCCGTTCTGGAGGAAGATGCTGTGTGGAGGGATGATTTTAAGTGGAATGGAGAAGCATCTGATTTAAAACTGGGACACTGTGGGTGCTGCTCGTCTCTGCCCCTGGGCGTCTGACACGGACTTGGCTTTCAGCGTTCAGACAGCCGCAGCAGAGAGGGGCTGTGGGCAGCACAGCCGCGTCGTCTCCTTCTGTCCCCCGCAGGAGGCAGCGACTGGAGATCTGAACTGTGCGTGGCCTGTGTGCAGTGCGCTGAGGACCCCGACTGGCACCTGTGCCCTGGCGTCCCTGAGGCCGAGACCCTGAGTGTGAGCTGTGAGAGGGAGGCAGAACACCTGCACTGCCGATCGCAGTGTGTCAGCACAGTGTGCACACAGCCGGCGGCTCGCGAGGCTGAGTGACTGTGTGACCGCACCGGCCGTGCTGCCACTGCCTACAGCTAACTCAAGGCTGAGAGGGCAGTGCCTGAGCCCGGGACACAAGGGGAGCAGAGGCCCGAGCTGGGGCCTGTGCCCTGGGCACCCGTGTGCCTCACTTACACCATGTCGCATGGAGGACTCCAACTGCCACCCAGCCCGGCCCACCGAGGGTCGCAGTCTGCACTGCTAGGTGATAAGTCGCACTCAGGACCCAGCCTTCCTGCTGCCACCTCATGCCTGTCCTGGATCCTGGGCATCTTCTGCTACCCTCTCTCCTGATGCCTCATCACCCAAGCCCAGGGTCCCCTCCTGGACAGTCCCCCCTTGGGAACACTAATCTATCTTCGTGGACATGTTTAGAACGAGTGAGAGTTTTAGTATAAAACAACTTGTTTCACGCACAGTTCCACGTCCCTCCTGGGACTCCTGCCCTGGATTTTCTCTCTCTGAATTCACTTCTTACTCGCATGTGTGTCACATGAAGAGCCTGAGGTATGCAGCTGTCCCTGAGCTCTGCAGTGGCAGCAGGCAGCCTCGTGTGACAGACAGAGGAGGCACTGACTGACCTCTTTCCGCAGATCTCGCAGATGTACGGCTTCTCCCCAGAGTGCCGGCGGAGGTGGGTCTGCAAGTTACCTGCCTGCAAAGAGAGGAAAGAGAAGCACGCCGATAACGAAAGGTTTCTTATTTTGTTTCTAAGTCATATAAATTCCATTGACAGATTTAGCCAGGTTCCAACCCAACCTCAGATGAAGATGAGGTGGGCACAGCTCAGGAGAGGCCGTGGGCAAGGAGGCCGGGGATAGCCCAGTGCCTGCCAAGCCCTGGGCTACACCCGAGAGCCCGGCTGTGGCCTTGTGTGGGGAGCAGGCCGGTGGTAAATGGGCTGGCGCCCTGGAGACATGGCTGTGGTCCCCAGGCCTGAACTGTGAACAGAACTTGATATATTTGTACCATCTACATGCAGTGTCATTTCAAAAAGTGAAAGTCACCTGTACATGCTTATTTCAGTATTCATTAGTTTTTTTCCCCTAAAGAACATGATTTTGTCTATGAAGAAGGGAGCCATGTGGAAGGCATTGCCTCCGGCAGTACGGTCTGGCTCTGCCAGGCAGCTTGGTCAGTTTAGCTCTGTGCAATAAAGCAAATCAGGGGCATCACAGCAGCATGACAGGGCCCTTTGTGTCCCTAATTTCTGAATCCAGCAGGGCTTTGGAAAGAGTAACACTGGGATGGAGATCACCAAATAGATTTCCATGCCCAATCAATGGGAAATGAATATTAAATTATCTAAGGGAGAGCGAAATTAAAACTGCAAATGCCTCAGATATTAAAAAGCTACTGGGTAATGTTTCCAGTGAGGACTGGGAGACAAACGTTTCCATTATTCTCATTCAACAGTCTTGGGCTGTCATTCTCCCCATTTAACTTTTTATAATGTTCTGTTGCCAAAAAAAGAAAACCCCACACAAATAAACGAATATACCCATGGTAATATACCCATGTGGAGGCACAACACACAGCAGAGCCAACAGGAAGAATGAACAGCACCCAACGAGCAACTGCACCTTTTAAATTTGTAAACTGTATTTTAAGTAAGAGAGATGGTTTATGGTTATAGGTCTGAAGATGGATCTGGCATCCACCGTGACTCGAAACTCCCAAGTATAGGAAATGTTGTCTGTGGGTTATACAAGATGAAAGATTCATGATGCCTAACAGGCCCTGGAAACACTGAGTCAGATGCCACACTTACAACTATGATAATGTAGCGCTGAAACAACTTACGTTTATTTTCAACAACTAAAGAGAAAGAATTGGGCCAAACTTTGTGAAACATACAGCTTTTAATAGAATGGCTATTAATAACAATAAAGCAAGGACAGTGACCAACAGGAACACACATCTGCTGAGGTTCTGCAGTCCTTCTACACTTGCCACGCCTTCCTTCTGGCCCTGTCCTGAGGCAGCAGGTGACCTGAGGGGGCCACACAGGGAAGAGCACAGTCCAGCGGTGCAGGTTCTAGTAACACATGTCTGTCCGCCTGTCCCCGCAGTCTAAGCCCATACGAGCTGTCTTAAACTGAGGGGCCATCCAACCCCGGTACCTGCGATCGAACTCAGGAACTTGTGCTTGCCAGATAGGTGGCGCCACTGAGCTACGTCCCCAGCCTGGTTAACTTTTTTTTTTTTGGTACTGGGGATCGAACTTGAGTCCTTGTGCTTGCGAGACAGGCAGTGGAACCACTGAGCTAAATCCCTTGGCCCTGGTTAACTTTTAATAAAACACTAACCCTACCAAATACTAACTTCTCAGTACACGGGGTGTGAGATTCTTCCTGGTAAATATTTCTAACTTTGAAATCTTCAGACGGAGAAACCTTTAGGAACCTGCTTCTATGAAAACACACTCGCCAAATCATGTGGGGCTGCTCCTGCCAGTGCGGCCAGGAGCCAGCAGCGGGGGAGGCCCGCGCTCCGGCCCAGCCCAGCCTCCTGGATGCAGCCTCAGCCCACGATGTGGCAGAAGCGACTTCTTTCCCTGTGCACATGCTGCTCCTGCACAAGCTCTGGACAGCGCACCCTGCGGCAGTGCCCTCCCTCACTACACAGCTCTTTGTTCCTCTGAGTGACAACCCCGAGGCCTTCTTCACTTCTGTCCCTCTCAGCACAGGGATGCTCATGGACACTGAATGGCGCTTTTACAGCTGTCCTCACTTGCAGAACTTTCATGTCACTATGAAAATAGAATGTATATCTGAAAAACCACAGCTACAGATAAAACTACTTTTATGAAAATCTAACAGACTCAGGCACTGAACCGGAGGAGAGGCGGAGGGCATCTGTTGGAGACAGGGCTGGGCTGACAGGGTTAGGAGGGCAGTGCAGGGTCTGAAGTCAGGGTCTAAGGCAGGGCTCCAGCACAGCTGCACAGCAGATCCACTGCACCAGACCCCTCAAACAGAGGGTCTGCACCCTGGGGGGCAGCGATGGGGAGAAGGGAGGGGGCAGGAACAAGGATCCTGAGTGGCTGTTTTCTTTGGTCTCCAGTGGGAGCCACGGGAGGGTCCTGAGCAGCCCAGCAGTGTTACCACACTGAATGTGCCAAGGGTTTTCACGATGGGCTTTTTGCCTCTTCTTCCTAACAGTCTAAGAAGTAGTATTCTCCCAGTCTTAAGAATGAGATGCTGTGACTGCTCACTGCAGGGCCATGAATCCAGGTCTTAAGACCTTCGGGCTACAGCAGGGCACTAAGATGGAAGCGGCAGGGTGGGGTGGTGACAGGACAGCAAAAGAGTGACATTCCTGAGTCCACCATGGGCCGGGTAGTTCTTAGAACCCAATCTCATTACCTCTGTCAGGGTTAGCAATCTTCCTCCCTTGTTTGACAGGTACAGGGTCACAAGGGAGCAAGCTGCAGCACAGGCAGGCCTCAAACCTGACCCAGGCTGGCTGGCAGAAGTGAGGGTCCCCACCAGAATATGGGGGGTGAGCACTGTGCTGAACCCTCCCTCAGGCATGTAAGGATCCTCCTGGAGACACTAAGACACCGCCCGGCCCAGAGAGACGAAGTGTCCAGGTCAGACAGGCCCAGTCGTGCATAGGAAGAACGCTAGGACTTGGCTCAGTGATGCAGACACAGGTGACTCATGCCGAGGAGCAGTACGGAGCAGTTACGCCCTCAGGTCTGGGGGTGTGGGACATGGAATTGATCCAGATGGCATGGATGAGAGGCAGGTTTGAATGCTGGGTGCGGGGTGCATGGCACAACGGCACCCACTAATTCCATGTTCCTCAGGGCCAGCCTTCCATGCTACCACACCAAGGGCCTCCCTCGGCCTGCAGAGGCTGCCCATGTCACTCCTGGCCAAGTGGCACTTGCACACACTGCCTTCGAGGCTGTGCCACATGCTGCATTCGGCCTCTACAGATCGGTGCTCTCATGCCAGGGCAGCTGCCAACCATTCACCTCTGGAGCCAGGGCCTGCCCGTGGGTGGAGACAGCCGGAAATTACACTGGACATTTTCTACAAAACATTGAATCTCTGCATTTCTTTGTCTAGTACCTGCCAACAATAAGTGTTTGCCGAATGAGAAAATTAATTACACATCCAAATTGATCTTCTTCTTCTTTTTTTTTTTTTGGTACTGGGGATCGAACTCAGGTCCTTGTGCTTGCACAGCAGGTGGTGGAACCACTGAGCCAAATCCCTGGCCCCTAAATTGATCTTAATAGAAGTCAAGCTGAAAGACAGCAGTAAAGGCAGGAAGTAGAAGTGGTTTACTCTTATTGTTTCCCAATACCCTAAAATCAACAATCCCAGTAAGAATAAGAAGATTTATCCTGGACCTAGCCCAGAGTACTCTGCAGTCTCCAGGGAAATCACAGTGTGGTGTTCTAGGAACTTCATTCACAAAGGAGAAGCATATTCTACCAGGACTGAACCCATCCTTGGGGAAAAGGAAAAGGTGAGAATTCACACAAACAACAAATCTCATCTTCCTGCCAGTGAACTAGAAATTTGTGAGAACTTCAATTTCTTGAAAAGTATTTCCTGATTTAGTCTCAAGTCTTTAAGTTACAGATATCATTGAGGCTTCTCTTCCAACTACAAAGGTGTGTCTTATTTGTAATTAAAAATAAACACTGGGTTAAAAATATAACCTGGGGTTCAGGTTTCCAATTATTAACAGTAAGTAAGAGTATTCCCACCTGAGAGAAATGTTTCCCACAAATGTTACATTCAAAAGGTTTCTCACCTAAAACAAAGGAAAACAACAGTTTGTAAAATCAGCACTTATATTTTCACAATAATTTTGAACAATGATTGCATCTTTATCCCACAGTAGAACAACAGGAACCTCTACTTCCTTAGACTTATCTCTCTCCCTGAGATTTAAAGATGATAAAAGTGAAGTCAATATGCATTTTCCTATAAAAAACAAATCAAGCCATGCTGTAAATATAAAGGTGTGGTGCGATCCAGTGTATTTACATTCAGAGCACACCCAGGTTTGGACACCGTCTTCTCCTTCAGCTGGAAACCAAATGGAGCTCTCTCGCCTGATGCCACCTGACAGCTGACTCCGAACATAGAGAAACCAGTTCATACTGCACAGATGGACCTGAGAGCCCCAAGCAGCTGGGAGCTCCTGAAACTCAGGAAGATGGGGACAAATGGCCTCTCCATGCACCTTCACAGGAGAAAACAGGATTTAAGTGTGGGAGAGGTGCTCAGTCTGCTGCCGCCTTAGTCACCACTGACTGCAGTAACTAAGGATGGGATGGGACAGCCTGGCCAACGGTGTGCTGCCATGAGAAACACAGCTGCCCTGGGTGGAGTCTGCAGAAGACCTGTGGGAAATTATGCTGCAAGGTGCTGCCTTCCATCTACATCACCCCAGTGAACCGACTGTGAACACCCACCCTTCTCAAATCAAAGGCTTTATTAAGATCCTCTTTAAAATCCACAATCACACTTGTCTCCTTCCCTGCTGTATTCCTTGGACTTTGCTACCTGGAAAATACTGGCTGGCGGTTTTCTGGGATCACATTGGGCTCCTCTTATTCTGATTTTTCCCTGAAAATGTCGAACGGTTTCCTTGGCCCTGAATGACTATAATCATGTTATGTTTGTATTTTGGGACTGAAGTTGCTGAGATAACGATGATCAGTTAAAGCCCCCCGAAAGAGATAAAAGAATTTGAGAACAGAGAGGTCACCAGTCACCAGAACTCCTAAGGGACCAAGGCTAATGATCCTGTGTGGGTCACAGACTTATGCTCTCAGGCACCCTTTACAATACTTTTAAAAACTGAGGGCCTAAAGAGCTTTTGTTTAGGCGGCTATATCTATGATTCCATGTCATACTGAATGGAAACAGTGACTGCGACATGTGAATACACAGGTCATTAGGCTGCAGGAAATGTGAGCAAGCAGAAACGAAGTTTTCTTTCACAACAAAACTGAGTCTGTGATAGATATCTTCAAATGGAGTAATTCTGAACTAGCAATAATAAAGGTAACACTTTATATTCAAATGCACTAAAATTCATAAAGGGTTTTCACAAATACTAATGAAGTCTCCCAGCAATCTACTGGGGAGGTAATTACCTCAGCAAAGTAGGACTCCAAAGTGCCAAGAGAACACGTCAGTAAATGCAGTTACACCAACGCTACGAACCCAGTTACTGGGGAGGCATCCTGTTGCGTGTCGTCACAACTAGTTTGTGATATGTTATTAGTCATGCTTCAATATAGGACGGAAGATAATACACAGGTGTTCTATAATATGATGAGTATATTCTGTATAATACCTTTATATTCTTGGTCGTACTGAGGACTGAACCCAGAGCCTTGCACATGTACAATACTTATAAAAACCTTTTGGGAAAGGGGAGAAGGAATTAATTAAGATATTGAAGCCTTGAACATTCAATGTTTAAAATGAAATTTTTATTTGAAAATATCAAATAGTTAAAGCTAATTCCTACGAAAAAGTTTAACTCCTCCCTCCCCAATCACAAATTTTTCAAGTCAGATATTAAAATTACTTCTCAGACAACTTTTGGAATTATTCGAACTAAATTAACCTACATGATACTTCAAAAAATAAGCTTGATCTAATTCTAAGGAGACAACTAAATATAGCTTATCTGCTTTAAATTAGAAGACAACCTGGATGCATCAAAACAACTGCCTATACCTCTTAGCGATGGCCAGTTTATCATATAAAACTCCAACTGAAATAAGAACGAAAAGGATGCCATCATGGCCAGTGTGGTGGCTCACGACTGAGTCCAGCTACCGGGGCACTGAGGCAGGAGGATCATGGGTTTGAGGGCAGTCTCGACAACTTAGCAAGAGCCTCATTCAGAGTTTTAAAACGGCCAGGGATATAGCTCAGGGGCAGAATGCCTGCTTAACATGTGTGCCGCCCTGAGTTTGATTCCCAGTACCTCAAAAAAGGGAAAGTCTGCCATCTTTTTAAAGCAGTTCTATCAATCATTTCTAGAACTTTTTTTTTTTTTTTTGAGGTAGGGTCTTGTCATGCAGCTCAGGCTGGCCTGGAACTCACTACGTAGTTTCAACTCCAGATCCTCCCGCCTCAGTCTCCTAAGTCATGCTGCGATTACAGGCGTGCACTGCCACGCTGCCACCCTGGAGTTGCGTTTACAAACACCAATGATTTCACCAAGAAAGAGTGAAGCTTCTTACGAAAACGAGGACAGGCAGGGTGCTGCACACCCGTGCTACTTCCTTCCCCGAGCCGAGCCGCAGTCTGGAGCAGTGTACCTGTATGAGACCGCTTGTGCAGCTCCAGGTTGCTCGGGTGTTTGAAAGGCTTCCCGCACAATTCACACGAGTACTGCCTCTGGGGCTGCAGGCTCTGGGACTGCTCCTCTAGGGTGGCCGGCGCTTTGGGCACCTCCACTTCACTGATGTCACAGTGAAAAGGCTCGGAGTTGAGCTCCCCGCTTTCCTTCTCTTCCACACTGTGGCTGCCAGCTTTCTCTCCTGTGTTTTCACTAGCAGATTCCGTCCTCCTGGTTAAGCTGTCATCCAACTTGGGTTCGGACGCTTGCTCTGCTGATTTCTGTGACTTTAGGAAATTGAGTTTCTTCAGATGAATGGCCTTTTTGAGCCGCATCTGCTTGGCTGGCTGCTGGCAGGGGCCATTCGACTCGGGGTCAGGGGCAGAGTCGCTCGGCCGCGGTGGGGCCAGGAAGGTGGAGGGCAGGTGCTCCGAGGACTCCAGGAGGCACTCAGAGTGGCTGACTGCACACGGCTGGGTGAGGTCTGCGGAGGAGGAGAAAGCAAAAGGCTGTTCGGCTGCCCGCTCGTGGCTGGGACAAGCGGCCTGCTTGTAGTACTGCTTGCTGTAGAAGTCCCGGAGCTTGTAGTAGTAATTGGGCTGCTTGCCAGGGAGCTCGGCACAGCTGCCATCCAGAGCGTCAGGGGCCGGTTTGGCCATCTCGCCCTCCGGATGATGGAGACCCACGGGTGGAGCAGGTGGGTGTGCTTCCTCCAGAACCTTGCCATGCGGGCCCTCTGCTGGGCACTCGGGCAGGAGGGGCGGAGGGTAGTTTTCATTCAGAACGCAGGTGGCATCAGGGGGCAGAGCGCCCTGCAGGGAGAAGGCACTACTGCAGGGCAGGCCTGGCGGCTGTTCCGCAGAGGCCGATTTTAGAAACATGTGACACAGGTGGAGGACATTCTGAACTTGCAAACACTGGGCCGTGTCCAGCATGACTTGTATGTTATCCTGATTAAGCTCTAGGTGCGAGGTGTACATGAAGTCCAGGATCTGCCCTATGCCCCTGACGTTCTTTACATCCAAGTGAAAAACGTCGTTCTTCTGGCTTGAGGAATTCTGAAAGAGGCTCCTGATAAAAGAAAGGAGACTCATTTACACTGTCAGTAGCGCACACATTTGGCTACTGTCTTGTGAACAGCATTCATATATCAATATTTAAAGGTCCCATTCTCTAAATGCCATGACTCCTATATTTCTTTTACTGGGGACTGAACCTAGGGCCTTCACAGAGCTACAACCCCAGCCCTTTTGAAATTTTGAGACAGGGTCTCACTAAGATCCCCAGTTCAGGCTCGAACTTGAGACTCCCCTGCCTCCTAGACTGCTGGGATTACAGGCGTGCACCACTGTGCCTGGCTTATCCTAAGTACACTTTAATCCTCTAAGTCAGTTGGCCACACCATCCAATTTAAATGAATTAAGTAGTGTTTTGAGTATTCAGCCTTTAAGAACAGATGTTAAATATCTGAAATATACTCACTGAATGTACAAATAAAAACACTACACATAGTAATATGGCTGGATAGTGTGCTCTGGGAAATTAAAAGTGCTTTTAACAAGGAGGCTCTGGTTTTTAAATAAGAAATAAACTTGTTAACCAGAAAAATAATTTATATAGAATACTTAACCATAATAATGTTAAATACAGTGAAATACAACTGCTCAGTATTGTTTAATATTTATAAATGAATCTTTCATATAAGAAAAGGGATACCGGGTTAGGATAAGTTGAGTATCAACTGAAAATTTTGGTAGAACATTCAAATGAAAAATAAAAACTAAAATGTTTAAATTAAAAAGAAAGGTAAGAGCCAAGTGTGGTGCCACACGCCTGTAATCCCAGCACTTGGGAGGCTGAGGCAGAAGGATCGCTAGGAGTTTGAGGCCAGCCTGGGCGACATAGCAAGGCCCTGTCTCCAAAAAGGGGAGGAAAACAGCACATAGAATGTTTTTCCCCACACTTGATTTCAAAGAAAAACGACCAGAAATTCAATCAATTTTATCCTGAAAGGAAGTGAAATACAAAAGAGGACTGAAATTACTTCCAAGTATTAAAATGAAGGGCAAGTGCCAAAATACTTTCAGTTATCCCAAATGCATTTTAGTTAATGACAACTTTTCCTTTCAGGTTACTCACCAAACACAAAACCAGTAATACCATGAACTACATTAAACTAGAAACTAAAATGAAATAAAAAGCCTATCAACCTGCATATGCTATAAGGAGAGAGAAACACAAGAAGGAAGCGGAACGTGCACATGGGAGCCCCGCACCTGAAGTACTGGCTGAAAGCGGCCAGCACGTTCTTGTGCGCTTTGAAGCAGACGCCTCGCACCACCAGCATGCAGTCGCACAGCAGGCCCTGGATCCGCTGCTCGTGCAGCTGCTGGAGGAGGTGGCAGCTGTGGGTGGCCACCGGGTCCATGCTACACAGGAGACCTGCAGCAGAGACAGCAGCGAGCTCTTAGTGACACTGTGGAATAGAGCAGCACCGTGCCACTTGGTCAGTGTGCGTACACACACGCATGTTTTAGCCAGAACTAGACCAGGGATGCCCCACAGAACTGTGTGCAGTGGAAATGCTCGCTGCTCCCGGCTCTGTGCAGTAGCTCTTAGCCATGTGAGACAACTGGGGCTGGAAACGTAGTGGAGAAAGTGGAATATTAACTTAAGTGACCACTGTATTGGGCAGTGCAAATCTAGAATATGACCATAAGACCATAATAACTCACACACACACACACACACACACTCTTCTATGATGCTTACTTAGGGATGCATCATATTAAAAAATAAAAAATATGCATATATAAACATGTGTATGGTTTTTCAAAAGGCAACTAGTTAAGATCTTCTTTATTGAAGACCTACACATGGGTCAGTGGGGACAATCGGGGCCCTATACTGAGAGCCACAGTGCAGTGAAGAAGGCCCCCACGAGGCAGTGACAGCTGGCACCGCCCAGCAGCACGTCTTCCATGGATGCTCCTGCGCCGCTGACAGATGCTACCACAGCAGAGACCTGAAGAAGGAAGGAGTGAGTGTGCGGGTCGGGGGCAGACAGACACAGGCATGAGGTGTCTGGGGCACAAAATGAGCTTCAGAGTGTGGCTGGGAGGCTGGGAGGAAGTGGAACGCTCAAGAGGGCAGAGGCCGGGCCAGCACGACTCACAGGCCTGTGTCCGGCCCCGACTGATTCTGCCTGAGATGAAGCCAGGATGTGAACACACAAAATGTGCTCGCTGGACAGGTTTCTACTGAGTGGCTACACATGCCAGGTTCTAGGATGACAACAACGAACAAAACACAACAGGTCCCCACCTCACAAAGCTTAAATTCTAGGGAGGAAAACACAACAAAGTGGACAGTGCACAACTGATGAGAGCAGTCACAGCTAGACACTGGGACACGCGGCTGAGGAAGATTCGGCCTCTGATGTCCAGGCCAGCAGGGAGGATCTACAGGACTGAGGGGTGGGAAGAAACAGAATCAGACTGGAGCAAGACTGCAGGGATTAAAATTGCAGTCTCATGCACTAAAAATGCTCCAAGCATCATCGGTTTTCTCTGACTTCATTTTCAGTGTCTAAGCATTGCTGAGTCACTACTCCACACACCCAAAGCAGGCTTTTTAACAAGGTCCTGCTTGTCTCCCAGCCTTATCTCCTGCCACAATGAACCACCCGGGCCACCGGGCCACGCTGTGCTAGGAGCCCCAGCTGCACTGATCTTCGTACAGGACTCTGGGCCAGTGACTTCTGCGTCCTGCTGTCCGCAGACTATCTCATGGATGACCGCAGCGATCAGAGATGTTTAGAACAGTGCCTGGCCTATGTGAGTGATTGGAAATAGGATCTCTAAGGATCCGGGAGCCTGGTAAGGCTGCATGTTGCTCCCTGCCATCCTTGTGTCCTGCTGCTCGGGGTCACACATGTCTGGGTGACTCTGGCACAGGTGGCCTACAGATGACGCCTTGCATTCTCTCTGTTCTCCCCTAAGAACCTGTAGCTACTCTGTTCGCACCTGGCCCTCCCACCTTCCAGGTCAGGCTCCCTGAAGTCAGCTACTTCCTGTTGTTTTTCTTTTTCTTGTGATAGGGGACTGAACCCAGCCCGAAGGGGCATGATGCGCTGGCAGCAGTCACACACACCACTCCCCTCACTCTCCCTGGCCTTCTCAAGGGTGGCCCGGGGTAGCAATATCTTTCCACCATTGCTTGCTTCTGCAGCCACCAGGTAGGCTGTGCTGACAGAAGCCAGGCTGCTCCCACACTGCTCTGGGGCTGCTGCTGCCTCTGAAGAGAGGCAGGAAACCAAGCTCCACAGGGCCAAGATTGGGGGCAGAGGGGGCCTATTGTTGGCATCCCCACAATCCCTAAACCTCAAGAACTCCCAGAGTCCTCAAGTTTAGTGGCAGTGAAGATTTCAACTGCGAGATGGAGCAGCTGTCAAACCAGTGGCCATTCCCCCTGGATGTGTACACGGCTACAAGACACCTGCAGCTGTCCTGGGCACCCCCAGTTGCTCCAGGAGGTATGTTTGTCTGTTTTGGTTTTTTTTGGTATCGGGGATCGCACTTGGGTCCTTGTGCTTGCCAGGCAGGGGACGGAACCACTGAGCTAAATCCCTGGCCCTTCCAGGAGATATATGGCTTGGTGGCAGCAGGCTTGAGACTTGGACCAATCCCAGATGACTCTGCCCCTGCTGCCCTTACTGTGAATCTCTCGGGAGCCAGGACAGGAAATGAACAAAACTGCACATCCAAGGCCTGTTCTGCTCTACATATGCTGCGCTTGCCAGCACCCCTCAGCCATGCTGCCCTACAGGTCCCGGTAAAGCCTCCCCTGGTGGTTCTGTAACCCTCCTGGTGACTCTCATCTTGGGTGTTTTGGGCACAGGAGGTCACATGGTCTAGTCACACTCTGCTAGCTTTCAAGAGTTTCCAACTAGCAACAGACATCAGTGGAGACTGGTGGCAGAGACCAGCTACAGCAGTAACTGGCGGCAACCAGCAGCCACCAGAGGCATTTGGCGTCTACTGGCAGTGACAGCAGAGAACCCACGAGGCAGCAGAAGTCAGAAAGCTGCCACAGGCTGTGAGCCTTGAGTGCTGAGGGAGCTGCTGAGACTGGCACTGAACAGGCCAAGGGCCAGTGGCACGCAGAGCCACCAACTGAGCTGCACTTTGCCAGTTTGTGATTTCCAACCGAACTGAGCAGAACCCTCAGCTGACTGGTGAGACCTCCTCGCGTCTCAAGTGCAGTTCGGGGTCACTACTCCACGCTCTCACAGCACCCCACATGTGCTTCCATCAGATAACTTCCCTGCGTGTCCCTCTGTTTGTCTCGAACGCCACTGCAACCATCTCATTCAACTTTGCCTGGCCTAAAGTGGACCCTCCACACTGAACTTCGCTGGCAGACCTCTGTTGGCTAAGGGGCGCTGGGCCGTAATGTGTTCATTCACACTTGTGTGACTTCTTCCCTCTGTACCCCACTGCTCTAAATCCTCCACACTCTTCATCCCCACATCTGTCTCCCCGCTCACAGAAATGACTGTAACTCTGACCTGACACTGAGCACAGGCACAACCTGACGAAGGCGGAGTGCCTTTTGTTCTCTTCTCACTCCAAAGTTCCTGCTGGGCCCTCCTTCCCTTGAGCCTCCTGGGAAGTACGGTGCCTGTGATCCATCTATCCCATCCTTCTAGCCTTCTCACTCGCCCCTTCCAGCTCTCCATTCTGTCCCACCAGCACCCCAGGATGGCCCACGCAGAACACAAAACAGAACAGACAACGACAAAGCCCCCGCCCATCTCCTGGTCACCACAGGCCTCTTCCACACTATGAACAGACATCCACACTCCCCACCTCACGTTCTTACAACCCCTCTCCCTGTGCTCGCCCTGCCATCCTTCGTGCTGACAGCTGCCCCCCAACACCTCTCTGCCGGCCTCACCCTCCTCGGCAGCCGCCGCGGGGGACATCCGTCCAGCCATGCCCATGCCACACCACGCTCCTCCCTGGACTCCCCTGGTCCTCTTCCCACAGCCCTGACCTGGCTGCCTCTGGGCTGTAGCTCTCCCTGGTCGGGCCCTGCACCTGTTCCTGCTCCTTAAGGTGCAGGCCTCAGGCCGCCCCATTCCCTTGACGGACATATAGATTCTTTGCTCTCACCTGTCACACACAGACACCGCCTACATTTGTAGCTGGCTTCTGACACCGGTTTCAAATCGCCAGCTCTCTGCCAAAAGTCTCCAAGGGTATGGCCTCTCCACTTACAAGCTCTAACGGGCACCGCCCATGAACCTCCGACCTATTCCCCCGTTTCTTTATGGAGAGCATCATTCCTGATGTGCAGGGCTGGGGAACTGAAACAATCTCCTGGTCTCTGAACAGGGTGGGACTAGAGAGGAAGCACAGGATGAGGCCTGAGATGCTAAGAGCCCAGGAAGGCAGCACGATGACGGGTGGTGACACCATCTCACGTGGAGAGCCAGCAACTGAGTAACCAGTTCCCTAGTCCTGGACCTCCTGGTTTACTGTTATTAGTTATCACTCACTGTCTACTCATGACAGGCCTGCTAAACATATGATACCCGTGAGCTCAAACAGCTTTGTAAGAACTCAAGTGTCACCACCTACAAGCAAAGAAAGAGAGAAGGGGGGGGGGGGTCTAAGTAAGTTGCTGAGGAGCCTAAAACTGTTCTGTGAATCCTGGCTCCTGAACCCTGGAGTTCTTATGCTACCCTGTCTCCCATAGGAAAAAAAACTCTACTCAGTGAACCCAAAACCTCCCCACAGACATAAATGTCAAAAGCCAGCAAATTTTCTCATTTTCTACCTCTATAGAAATGATATACTGTAGGAAGAAAAATCCTTTGGAAAGAGCCCCAGGGTTATGGTGATAGTCAGTTACCAACTTTTACTATAAAAATTGTAACTCTTGTATATGATTTTGTATAGTTCTCTAAACTAGTTCATAAGGTCAATCCTGTACCTCCCCAATGAGCTTATAAAAAGCTCTGGAAAAAGAATTTGTATCTTATACTTTTTAACCTGTCCTATAAATAACAACTATAAATAACATTGTACCCCACACTTAGCAACAGTAGTAATAATGACAAATAGTTACAAAATGTTTCCGATATGCCAGGCACTATTCTAAACCCTTTGCCCTTACTAATTCATTTAACTCCTAGAATAACTCTGAGACTGATACCTCTCTGACCCTCATTTTACAGAAGAAGACCATGAGGAAGTCAGCAGATTGCAGACGGCCCCAGGCTCTTTGACACCACTCCCCTGGGGTGGCAGGGACCGAGGCGCTTCCCCTGGAATCCGAGTGGGCTCTGCCCTTAGCAGTAGAGCACAGTGAAGGCAAAGCTGGAAAGCTCTGCTCAATAACGCAAGGTGCTCAGTAATTTTTGGATGGAGACCCTGGGTCTCAGTTTTTTCATCTGTAAAAATGGAGTGGTCCTTCATGGGATTGGATGACTCTCATGTTTCTTGTTTGAAAAGCTACAAATGTATACCAGATGTCATGGTGGGAAGATTGGCTTTGTCTGAATAACATCAGACAATGGAAACAGGGGCAAAGAGGAAAGAAAACTACAAGGAAAAGCTTGGATAAATGTGAAAGTAAAGGTACTTCTAAAGGGAACAAGAGCCCAAATGGGACTCTCACCTGCAGGGAAGACGCCTACATTTGGTGGGGCCCATTCTACAACTGGTTCAATACCGGTGGTTCAGTATGTAGGAGATTTTCAGTGGGGCTGTGAACAGATTACTTGTTCAAGAGTCTACAGTTCATTACCTGAATATCAAGCTCGTCTTAGAGAGACAGGTTTTTGGCCATCACAATTTTCAAACTCCTAGCCCCTCACCCTAACCCAATGACCAGAGCACTGGCTTCAAGAAAACAAGACTCAAATCCTACCTTGGCTTTCTGATGACTAGGAAGTCTTAACTTTAGTTATGCAGATGTTTTGTGTCTAATACATACAAGATATTGTCATGAGGATTGAACAAGAAGATCTGTCCTGTTTTCCAACATTCCTTCACTTTTTTGTATCTACTATTTTGCAGAGTTAAGTCTGCCAAAGAATGAAGAGGGCTTTTGCTCTAGATTTTCAGAAGACTCCAATGAAAACAAAAGCGTAGGCCAGCACAATCAGGGATATGACATATATATATATATATATATATATATATATCTACATATATATCTGTATCTATCTATCTATAGATATATATGCCTTGCACACAAAAAGTACCAGAGCATGCTGTTCTTCAACCTCTTGGCCATTCTGTCACTTTCACTGGGAAATACTTCCCTCCTTGTCCCTTCTGGTGAATTCCTTGTTATAGTTTGATTCACTTGTGTTCCCTAGCATCTCAGAACGTGACTGCACTGCACGGTGACAGCAGGCCTTTAAAGAGGGGATTAAATTAAAACAAGTCCCTTAGGGTTTCTACTCTGTTCTACTGTGACTGATATGTTTATGAGGAGATATGCATACAAAGAAAGACACCAGCCGGGCGTGGTGGTGCACACTATAACCCCAGCACGTGGGAGGCTGAGGCAGGAGGATTGCTGTGAGTGCCACAACAGCTTGGCTACATAATGAGTTCAAGAGCAGCCTGAAATATATAGTGAGAGCCTGTCTCAAACAACAACAAACAAACAACCCCAAAGACACACATCAGAGATGTCAGCAGAGACAAAAGAGCAGGTGAGGACACAGCGAGAAAGTGGCCAGATGCAAGCCAAAGAGACAGACCTCAGAAAAAAGCAGACCTGGTGACACCTGGAGCTTGGACTTCCACTTCCAAAACTGTGAGAAAACAGGTTCTGTGCCTAAACCATTTGGTGGATTGTTATGGCAGCCCTAGCAGACGGGTACACTTGCTATTCCGGGCCCTCCACTGTGCACTTCCAGAAGGAAACCTTCCTATCACCCACATCCTCCCACCCTGGGGGTGTTTTTCACAAACCTCTGCTCAGACCCCATTCATCTTTCTTTCATTCACTTAAACAACAAATACTTAGAGACCACCATTGAGGCCATCTTAAAGCTAACGTTTATGGTGCACTTACTAACTTAACTGGCAGATACCGGGCGAGCACCTGGCATGCACGCTCATGAAGTCCCACGAGGTCCTGACGACGCAGGCACTGCTGCCACACCGGGTTTACAGATGCGGAACGGAGGCCTGGAGAGGTCAGATCGGAACGAGGACGGGCTGGGCGATGAGCTACGAGGTCCTAAGCGCCGCCCACAACCACAGAGCCAGGCAGGGACCAGGAGCCCAGAGACCCGCAGCCCAGGGCGGGGACGGGCAGAGCAGGAGGTCGGGCGGGGCCCGAGTCAGGCATCCGGCGCAGTCCTGCGTCTCCATGTGCCCCGGGCGCCTGGCACGCGCCCACCCGCCCGGGGACCCGGCTCCGCGGTGACCCTTGCAGGCCTGGGACGCGGAGGTGGCGGCGGTCCGCGAGCCCCGGAGTACCCAGAGGCGCCACCCGCCCGGCCCTGCACACCGCCGCGAGGACAGCCTCCGGCGCCGGAGGCCACCTTACCCTCAGGGCCGCTCCCTGCCCCGGCGCCACCTCTCTAGTCACCTGCCGCCCGGGGCCTCAGCACCGAAGCCCAGGCCCCACCGGCCGCGGAACCATCCCGACAACGCCCCCTCGGCCGGCTGAGCCCGCCCGACTTCCGTCAACGTCACTTCCGCCAGGGGCGTGGCGGGCGCGCATGCGCGGAGCGCCGCGGAAGGGAGTTCAGCGCCAGGCTGCCGAGAGAGGCGGCGACAGGGTGGGTTGCAGCGGTCCACGTGCTCCCTGCGGCCGGTTAAACCGTTGGCGGGCGCTGCTGAGAGGTGAGGGGCGGTGGCAGAGAGGCCTGGGGCTCCAATCCGGGAGGACAGGGGTGTGGCGGTGCCACGTTCCCACCGGCAGTCCTTCGGTTCACCCTCGCGGAGGAGGGAAGGGATCCAGTCAGACCCCGTTCGAGCGCGGCCGGTGCGGGACCCGGGGCTGGGGGACCATTTCCGCCCAGGTGGTCACCGCTGCTCTGGCTTCAGGGCTCTTGTCCTAGTCGCCAAGGAGGAGCCTTGGGTCAGGCGATCTGGAGCACAGGCCGGAATAACTGCGTGGGGATCCGGCTTGCCACTCCTGCACGTGGGACCTGGTGCCCCGTCGCTTAACCGCTTTGTGGCTGTCTCCTCGTCCGACCAAAGGGATTGGGGTTGTGGGAAGCGTATTAACCACCCGCGAGAGGGCTTGGCACGTCTAGGTGGTCATAAAACATCTGCTCTTTGCAGCGCGCACCGCTGAGGAAAGAGGAGGGAGGTGAGGTATTTGCAAGCCTAACTTTCCTTCACAGACGCCCCCGGGCGGCCAGGCTTGGTGTGGGACGTACGGTAGTTAGTAGAGCGCATCAGCATCAGTGTGGTTTAAAGCAGCGCAGGGGATGTCCTGAGTGGGGTGGGGACACGAACTGGGAAGCAAAGACAGCTTAATTTCTGTGAGCCTCAGTCTCCCCATCTGTTAAGTAGAGGTGCATGTACCTTCTGCCTGGGCCTTTTGCAAGGACCAAAAGATGGTCCTCTCTGTGATAAAGTCAACAGGTGTAGGCAGGAGTGTGGACAGGGTGGACAGGTTTGTGCTTTCTGGCACCATACCTGTACTTCTCCGAATTCTCTGCCTGGAAGGGACTTGGGTCTAGTCTGGTTGCCTTGGCTCATTGTTTCACAGATGAGAATTTGAGGTGAAAGGGGCCAGTGGCTTGGTTTAGGTCGTGTGCTCACTGATTGTGGTTGTGAAGGAGTTGCCAGCCTGGCCCCTTGGATGGATTGTTTTGGAATGGTGGTAATGGGATGTAGGTCAGTGTGTGTGTAAGTGAAAGAATGTTTTGAGAATAGTGAATATTTGTGTAAGAAAAGTAAAAATACAAAGATGTAGAAGGAGGAAGATAATAAAAACTTCCAAATCCCAACCCTAGAACCAAACTTAAGGTAGGTTAAGTTATATATATTCAGTGAACAAGGCCATCTGCACTCATGTTGTGAGAAGCCAGAGGAGGCTGGAGTAAATGGATGAAGATAGATGGATAGGTTGAGGGCCATATTTAAAGGAGCCTGGGTTTGGGAGAGGACTGAATATAGTATCATTGATGTAGAATTAATTGGTCATAGAAACCTTTCTATAGTTGGGTTAGGTTGCAGCTGCTACGTCTGCTATCCTGATTAACTTTCCATGCAGTGCTTTAAAGTGGATATTAAACATATTACTGATTCTGGGAAGTGACGTGACCATGGCATCCCTGAATTTTTAATGACCTTTCTGGTGCTGGCAGATGCAGGCTGCAGCCCAGGCCCTTTGCCCCTGAGTCCAACAAAACATGGCCACCATCTTGCTAAGAGGAGGCTAAGGCACTACAGTCCTCAAAGGCCTCAGCGCCTTACTGACCCGGTCTGCTCCCCCCAGGTCAGGACTGCTGTCTGATACCCGTTGGTCTTCCCTGTGACATGGGGGTTTTCCGTGTCTGGGATGGGCTTGCCTTAGAACTAAAGCCCAGGGTTCTGACAGTTACAAATGGAAGGCCACGGTGTAGAACCTTTCTTTCTTTTCCTTTTCCTCCTTTGGATGAGGATCTTCAGTTCTCAGAGCAATGGCCAAGCAAAGAGGAGGGATGTGACAGGTGAAGACAGAGGCAGCACAGGAGCCCGGGCTGCCACCTTGTCTTTCAGCACCTCAGCCCCTTCTCTGTGCCTGAGGCAGAGCCCTCAACCGCCTGAGCCTGGCTTTGTACTTGAAGCCTGTGGAGGAAAGATCTCAGCTGTCCTGGAGGTGCTGCGTGCAGTCACAATGTGAACATGAGGTCACTTTGTAGAGAGCGAGGGATCGGTCCCACCCTCTGTCCTTCCGGCTCGTAGCTTTTTCTTGGTGTGGCATATGATGAGAGCTCAGTAAACTGACTGGACAGAGGGACAGGCAGACAGAAGCACCTGCTTGGAAGTTTGTAGCACTTACATTTCTGGAGTGAGTGAGCCTGCACCAAGGTGTGGGGCCCTGCCTGCTGAGCAGTTGAGCTGGCTGGTCTTTGTAGCCGCGCGTGTGTGCACTGTGTCACGGAAGGTATTTTCCCCGGGGACTGGGTCTGCTGTGGGGCACAGTCAAGGTCACTCGGGAGCTCTGTATAAGCTCCCTGCGGGTCTGATACAGACCTGCTCCCATAGCCGAGCAGGTGGACGCACCGTTCCCAGGTTGTGTCAAGTGTGAAACCACAGTGCCTTGAAGTAAGCAGCGAGGTGAGCCACCAAATGAAAATGGCCCAAGAGAGACTTTTCGATGGGCCTGTAGCTGATTTCTAACCCTCTCCTGAGTTGGTGTTTACACAGCGTGGCTTCTCTCCAGGGGGACGACAAGCCTTGCATAGACAGCCTGAGCACCTGTCGACACTGCTGGCTCCCTTCGATTGCTGTGTTTGTTTCCAGCTGCCCTTCCGCAGCCCTTCTTTCCTGACTCTCCATGACAGGCCACCCTCTGTCCTCTTGGAGGCTCCCAGTTGGACCCCAAGGCTCACTGCAGCCTTTCTTGCCTCTCTTCTCTTCTTCTTCAGTCAAGAAACAGACTAGTCCTCAGTGGCAGAGGTTGGAGAGCCCTTAGCCCAGTCTAAATTAGAGGGCTGCTTCCCTTGTTGGATGTCATTGTGAACGTACTTTGGAGGGCCGGGGATTTAGCTCAGTGGTTCCACCGCCTTCCTCACAAGCGCAAGGTCCTGAGTTCGATCCCCGGCACCAAAAACAAACCAGTGCTTTGAAATTTTCTAGCAGATAATTTGACTCAATGCAGCTGTTCTATCTGGTGCATACAGCAACAGTCCCTTTCTTGGTGACTAATAAGGATTTTCTCTTGTTCATACACAAAAGCGCACCTCCAGCCTGTGATGAGGTGATGTTGGCTCTTATTCCAGCCTTTGTTCTCCTGGTGAGGCGGAGTGGCTGTGCTGTGAGCCTGACAGTTACGGAATGCCCTCTGCCAGTGCAGCCCCAGCTCCCGGAGCTTGCGCCTATGTCGCACGACTTCATCATGACCTGCCAGGAGGAGTTGTTGCAGCGCAGCCCAGAGCCATCATGTTGCTTTCCTCTGGATTTGGGGCCAGGCTGTGGCTGACCACATGCATACCTTCCCTCTCTGACCCATCCTGAGAGCAGGCGAACTAGAGGACCCGGCCAGCTTGGGTGAGGGGACTGAGGTGTGAGAGTGTGGTGTCTCCCTGGGCCTTTGTACCCCAGGAGGGGCCAGCAGGACGTACGTTTCCATTCAAGGCTGAGTGGCCATGCCAGCCTTGATCTTTGCTTGGAGCACTGGGTGGAGGGGGATGGTGATTCCTGGGGGAGGGTTCACTGCAGGCAAGGGCAGCTCATTTGTGCCCAGGATTCTTGGAGAAAGTCTTACCCTGGAGCTGGCTCCTCCGCTGCCTTACTTGTTGGTCGGTGTCATTTGCATAACGGGGAAGAAAGTGCTAGGTTAAACAGTTCTCAGGTTTTGGCTGTGAAACTTATTTATAATGTGAACCATGGAAAGTGACACTGTTCTTGTAGAATCTGGTGCTTATATAAGCATGGAAAGTTACGGTGACTTCTCTGCCACTTTGCTGCATCTGTGCTTTGCTGAGCACAGTGGCACCCCCAGGAGGGTTTAGGTTTGGTTTGGCTTTCTTTTTGTTTGTTTGTTTGTTTTTTTTGGTTGGTTTGGCTTTCTTTGTGGTAGTGGGGCTTGAAGCCAGGGCCTTTTCCCTGAGCTACATCCCAGCCTTCCTTTATATTTTTTTTTATTTCAAGACAAGGTCTTGCTAAATTGCCCAGGCTGGGCTCCTAACTCAGTCCTCCTGCCTCAGCCTCCCAGAGTGCTGGGTTACTGGCGTGCGCCCCATGAGACTGTAAGTGGTGGTTCTGTGTACGTGTAGACGTGCGTAGTGTGGAGCAGTGGTCCGGAGACCCAGGACCCCGGTGTGTGAGCCCCCAGTGAGTCAGCACCTGGCAGTTAAGGCGCTGGATGGGAGTTCCCTTCTCTCAGGCCGATCTGACCAGAAGCCATGTGAGGAAGGAAGGCTCCTTACCTACTCCAGTCCACTGAGCTGGGGGTGGGCCTCATTCTGACACCGTGGGCGCATTGTAACTCTCCCTGAGCATTTCTAGGACGTCTGGGGAGTTTTGTTTTGGATTGGTTTGGGTTTTTTTGCTTTGTTTTCTTTTTGGTACGGGAGACTGAACCCAGGACCTTGCATTTGCAAGACAGGCATGGTGCCGCTGAGCTAAATCCCAGCCCTCGTTTGATTTTTTGATACAGTATCTCCCCGTGTAGGCCAGGCTGGCCTCCAACTGGGGCTCCTCCTGCCTCAGACTTCCAAGTGCTGGGATTACAGTGGTGCCCAAGCCTGACAAGAATTGCTCTTAAGCTTTTCTCCACCTTTTTGTTTTTTTGGTACCGGGGATCAAACTCGGGACCTGGCGCTTTCCAGGCAGGCGGTGGACCCACTGAGCTAAATCCCCAGCCCTGTTCCACTTTTTAAACGTCCCTCAATTTTCCCCTTGTGTTTTTCTTATCTGTTTGGGGACCTGAAATAGTTTTTCAGTGCACACCTAGATTACAATACCGTTTAGAAAGTTCATATGTAAGTATGTTTTATATGGAAAGAATGGGAGGGAGGAGAACGTAAAGGTATTAGAGAAAGTAAAATATATAATGCTCCAAAAGCTCTTTATTGGTGTAGCCAGTCTGCTAGGTTTAAGTCCCGATTTTGTTACTGTGTTTCCTGGGGTGATTTACTCAATCTCTCTGTGTTCCAATTGCTTCATATAAGTTGAACAATGATAGTTTTTCCTTCATGGGGTTTCTGTGAAGGCTCAATAAGTGAACACAGGTAAATTTCTTAGAATAATGCCTGGCACAGAGCAAATACATACTCGGCCAGTGTGAACCCCTTTCACTAGGGATAATTTACTTACAGGGGTGGTGGGGCTCCACACAGATTGTCCATCACCATTGGAGTCTGTTGTGTTCATGTGAAATTAGGGTTGGAATTATTGTGAAAAGGCCATGGGAATCATTTATTGGGAACAGAAGTTTTGACTTACGATACCAATAATCTGTTTTTCCTCTTTTGTTTTAGGACAAGCTAACACCTATTTTGGATAGAGAATATTTAATCATTTAGCTGAAAATGGTATTTTTTACATGCAATGCATGTGGTGAGTCAGTGAAGAAAGTACAAGTGGAAAAGCATGTGTCTGTTTGCAGAAACTGTGAATGCCTTTCTTGCATAGACTGTGGTAAAGACTTCTGGTGAGTTCTGCATCATTCATGTGGATCTACAGTGAAGGTCCAGACCAGTTTGGGAAGTTCTGGGCCCACAGAGGCACATTTGAGGAAAGAGAGTAAGAAAGATGCCCTGCAGGGTCCACCGATTAAAACTGGTGTGTTTCTCTGCAAATGCTTTATGAAACAATTTGATTTCTAGAGGAGTCCTAAAGAGAAGGCTGAGGGGACGGGTTGGGCTCATGGTTAGTGCACTGGTCAGTCAGCAGCACTGGCTGCAGCTTCTGCCAGGCCCAGGGACACGGGCACTCCGGGTACTGCTGACAACCCTTGGGGCGCTTCTGTAAGAGCCAGGCGAGGATGGGTACATCCATCTCCCATCCTAGAGAGCAGACGAACTTCTGACCGGAAAACGAGCTGAGGAATCGGGGTGTTTGTGCTGGGCACAGATGAGAAGAAATGGAGACGGCAGCAAAGCATGCAGCATCGGTCAGAGCCTGCGACCTGGGAGTGGCTCTAACAGTGGGGCTTCTGCTCTCTTTCAAGGGGCGATGACTATAAAAACCACGTGAAGTGCGTAAGTGAAGACCAGAAGTACGGCGGCAAGGGCTACGAAGGTAAAACCCACAAAGGTGACGTGAAGCAGCAAGCATGGATTCAGGTAACACCTCCCCAACCCACCCGGCAGCGTCGTGTCTCCCCTCCTGGTTTCTTCTGAAATCTGAGACTTAAGAATAAATGTGTCATCTGTGCAGACAAGTCCTGGAAACATCATGGCTTGGGCAGACTGAGGTGGAAGTAAAACTTTTTGAAAAAAGAGTTATTTTCTCTTAATACGGTTGTGGTGCACTTTGTCTTTCATGCATATGTTTTTCTGATTTTTCTTAAAATTATTTGAGAATTCTCACTAGCTTTCTTTTGCTACTAAGCCAGTTAGAAACTCTCTAATCTCTTTCTCCTAGTGATAATGCAACTGTTTATAAATCAGACCATGCTAATCACATCTGTTGTCAGAATCAGGTAAAATAGACATTTTCATAAATATAATAAGTTTCCTACTTACCTAAAATAAAATGAAGATATGTGCAAAAAAAAAAAGAAGCCATGAAGTCCCTGTTTGGTTGAGAGATATAACTTCGAGGATGTTATTGACTATTTGGAGACTGAAAACAGAAGGAAGGATTTAGAAAAGAAGGTACAGGGCCGGGGATTTAGCTCAGTGGTTCCACCGCCTGCCTCACAAGCGCAAGGTTCCGAGTTCGATCCCCGGTACCAAAAAAAGAAAAGAAAAGAAGGTACAGAATGAAAAGACAAATGTTACCTCTGTGAAAATTGGGCATTTTCCTAAAAACCAAATTAATAGTTCTGCATTTTAGGGCCGGGGATTTAGTTCAGTGGTTCTGCTGCCTGCCTTGCAAGCGCAAGGACCCAAGTTTGATCCCCGGTACCAAAAAATTAAAAATAAAAAATAATAAATAGTTCTGCATTTCCTGTTAAGATTTAGATGGCTCATGGTGTCTGCCTGTAACATGTTTAGGCTGGTGACCATCAGCCACGCTCGGGGACACAGTCTCTGATGCCCTGAGACCCAGGTGGCATTCCTAGAGAGATAAGGGTTCCACCTCTGCGGTCCTCACACTCGAATGAAATCCTGTGAAAAAACAAACCCACTTGAGCAATAACAGAAGAATACAGAAGAAAGCAACAAGTGGTACCCAGACTAACCATCCGGAGACCCCAGGGTGAACCGGGTGCAGACCTCAGGGGGAGGTGTCTGCGAGGGTCAGGCCCTTGCCCTCGCACGTCGCCAGCGCCCTGCCCTCTCTGGCACTGCTCACCACTTCAGCAAGTGCTGGCCGGCCTGAATTTTCCCTTGTCAAGTCGCTCTTGATTTCTTGGTGTCTTTCTCATGAGTGCCTTAAGCAGTTTTGTCTCATCCCTGTCTTTGGATCCTGGATCCTTTTTTTGCTGGGCTGTTTATGTGTAGATTCATTTCTTTGTCACACAGGAGCATTTTCCTTTGTTGTATTTGCTTACCCTCATGGTATGTCTTGGGTTGGTTCGTTGATGATTATCCTTCCTGTCTCCTGACGGTTCCCTAACTTTACTAATTGCTTTTTTTCTCTGTCTTTACTAGGATTGCTTAGCATTTTCTCTAGGTCTCTAATTTTATTTTCATCTCTGTTCTGTTCTTGCTATTTCAGATTTATTTATTAGAACTTAAGGCTATTTTATGCTACCGCTCAATTCTCTAGTCCCATTTGATTAATTTGTGTATTTTAAGTGTTCTGCAGCCATCACAACCGTCCATTTCCAGAACTTTCATCTTCCCACAGAGACACTCTGTACCCTTTAAACATAAACTCTCCGCCCCTGCTCCATTCTGCTCTCTCTCTCCCTGTGTCTGCCTACCCGCGGAGCCTCCCAGAGGTGGAATCGCAGTGTCAGTCCTTTTGTGAGTGGGTTATTTCACTTAACAGATGTCTTTAAGGTTTGCCCATGTTGTGCCATCTATCAGAATTTCCTTCCTTGTTATGGTTGAAAAACATTCCGTTGTCTGAATACAACACATATTGTTTACCCATTCATTTCCCAGTGGATGCTTAATTTGCTTTTACCTTTTGGCTGTTGTGAAAAACGTTGCTGTGAGCATAGGTATACTACATGTAATCCGTTCAAATCCCCACTTTGAGCTCTTCTGAGGGTATACCCAGAAATGAGATTGCTGGGTCGGGCTGGTAATTCTGATGTTCTGAGGAATCTCTATACTGTTTTCTGCAGCAGCTGTAGCGTTTCATATTCCACCAGTAATGCACAAGGGTTCCAGTTTCTTCACATGTTGATGAACACTTGTAATTGTCTCTTTTTTTGTTTTTTTTGTTTTTTCTGTTTTTTGGTACTGGGGATTGAACTCAGGACCATGTGCTTGCAAGGCAGGCGGCAGAACCACTGAGCTAAATCCCCGGCTTTTTGGTGTGTGTTTGTGTGTATAATGGTCATCCCTCTGGGTGTGACATGGTAAGTCATTGTGGTTTGGGTTTCTGTTTTCCTAATGATTTGTGATATTGAGCATCTTTTCATGTATTTATTGGCTGTGTATCATTTTTGAAGAAGTGTCTAGTTCCTTGCCCATTTTTAAAATTAGTTTGTTTCTGATGTTGAATTGTTGGAGCTCTTTGTATGTTTTGAACATGAAACCTTATTAGATACAGTATACAAATATTTTACAAATATTTTCCCCCATTCCATAGGTTGCCTTTTCTCTCTGTTGATAGTACCCTTTGATGCATAAAACTTTTAATTTTGATGTAGTCCAGTTCATTTTTTTCATTTTGTTATCTGTGCTTTTGGTATCATATAAAAAATAATTGCCAAATCTGGTGTCTTGAAGTTGTAAGAGTTTACAGTGTTACCTGTACTATTGCCTCTTAAGTTTAGATCTTTGATCCATTTAGAGATGATTTTTGTATATAGTGGAAAGTAAAGAGTCCACCTTCATTCTTCTCCATGTAAATACCCACTTTTCTCATTGTCTGTTGCACACATCCCTTTCTCCATTGCCTAAGATCGATAGCCTTGTTGGAGTCATGTGATTTCATGTGCAAGAGTCGGTTTGTTTCCCTTAGACTGTCATCACACTGGTTTGTTTATAGCTTTATAGTAAGTCTTGACATAAAAATCTGTTCTCTTTTCAGGATTGCTTTGACTAGGGCCCCTCAAGAGTCCATGCAAATTTTAGGTGGATTCTCTCAAAGAACATATATATAAGCTGCATTTTGATGGGAATTGCACTAAATCTGTAGGTTGCTTTGATTTAGGAAGAATTGTCAACACTACTAAGTCTTCCATTCCATGAGCACAGGATGGATGTCCTTCTTTAAGTTCTTTTTAACTGTTCTTGGTAGTTTTCAGTGTACAAGTCTTTCTCTTCTTTGGTCATGTTGTTTCCTGATTATCCCATTGAGTTTGTTTTGTTTGTAGTACTGGGAATTGAACCCCGGACCTCGAACTGAGCTACATTGCCAGCTCCCCTGCCCCTAGCAGTCCTGGGGATCAAGCCCAGCAGCACTCTACCACTGAGTTACACTCGCAGCCCTTTTTATTTTTTATTTTGAGACAGGGTCTTGCCAGGTTGTCCAGGCTGGGCTCACTTGCAATCCTCCTGCCTCAGCCTCCTAAGTAGTGGGGCTAGCAAGCATGTGCTGCTGTCCCTGGCTTATTTGGTTCTGTTTGATGCCTTTGCAAATGGAATAATTTTCTTAATGCCCATTTTGAATTGTTCTTAGTGTATGAAAGTGCAATTTTTTAGAGTTAATTTTATATCCTGCACCTTACTAATACTTTATCATATGGAATCGTTAGGGCTTTCTACATCTGAGACCACATTTCCACGTAGATGTCCTACGTGAGCAAAGATTATTTTACTTTATTCTGTCTTTTCTGATTAGGAAGCCTCTCATTTCTTTTTCTTACCTAACTGTTCTGGCTAGCACTATCGTGAGTGGTAGTTAATCTATATGTTTTTAAGCTTAGGCATAAATACAGAATCTGGACTGAAAATGTGAATCCTTTGTCCATAGCAAGGACCTTGGATTTGGCTCTCATGAAACTTACATGTTGCTTGTTTATTGTCTTCCATTTTTTGTAGAAAATTAATGAACTAATAAAGAAACCCAATGTCAGCCCCAAAGTGAGAGAACTTTTAGAGCAAATTAGTACTTTTGACAATGTGCCCCGGAAAAAGGCGAAATTTAAGGTATGGATTTGATGGGGGGGCGGGGGCTGTGTGGCAGTCAGTGACTCAGAATGAGATTCGTGATTCTCTTTCCTTTTGTTCCTTACAGAACTGGATGAAGAACAGTTTAAAAGTTTACAATGAATCCATTCTGGAGCAGGTGTGGTATATCTTTTCTGAAGCCTCCATCAGTGTAAGTTAGATCCAGTTTCAGACCTACTGTGTGACGGGAGTAATTAGTAGTCGTGAAATGGGGATGTCTGATATTTGGAGCCCAAGCCAGCCTTCTTTCTTAAAGAGCCTCTTTGTGCCTTCATTTTTGGGGACAGAATGAGCTGCACTAGAGATTTTCTTACTGTGCCGAGAAAGGCTTATTTGCCTCCAGCGCAGGATCGTGGTAACAGCTGAGGCTAATGAGCGGCCTACAGGTCAGGCAGGGGCAGGGTCCCTGGGAAGTTGGGAGCTTCGGATTTCTGACAGACCTGGCTCAGACAGACCCTGCTGTGCTGCTAGCAGATGTGTGAACCTGGGCACACGATTTGGCCTCTGAGCCTCAGTTTCCTCATCTATTCTAAGAGTGGCATTGGTGCTAAGAAGAAAACTAAAAGAAGGACCTGTGGCTAGGTGGAGAGTGAGGGTCACGGAAGGTCTCAGTGCCCCGAGGGAGGGAGCCTGGTTCTGAGGGCCTCAGGCAGCCCCGCCTCCTCCCTCCTGGCTCCATTCAGATAAACACATCGACTGCCTGTCACACTTCGCTTCCATCCGGATTCCAAATCAGAACGGCGCTCTGCCTCGTCTTATTCTAGATAAATTATTGGGAGTTATTTATGTAGGGAAAATGATTTGGCAGCAGGTCGGGACCCAAGTAGAAGTTTTATCTTGGCAGAATGTCTAGCATCGTCCTCTCAGAATGTACAAGTTGGACATTTGGAACCTTATGACTAGTCATTTGAGATTCTTTTTGCAGTTTCTCTTTTGAAGTTATGACACATTAAAAAATACATAAAATAGCAGGAGATGGTGGTGCAGGGCTGTAATCTCAGCTCCCTGGAAAGCTGAGACAGGATTGCAAGTTTGAAAGATAAGAGGGCCGGGATGTAGCTCGGTGTGGAGACCCCAGGTTCAGTCCCCAGTACCTCAAAAAGAAAACAAACCCTAAAACAAGCTGGGCTGGTGGTGCTCGGGTAATCCCAGCACTCTGGGAGGGTGAGGCAGGAGGACGACAGCGGGGCCAGCCCGGGCAGCTCTGGTTGGGTGGCTGCGCCCGCCGCAGCCTCAGCCCCTCCGCGACCCAACACGCACAGCACAGCGCGGTCCTTCGGACGGGACAGAGCGAGGTCGCAGGGTTCGTCCCTGTTGCGGGTATTTTCCTCCCTAGCTGCAAAGGCAGCTCGACGACAGCTTCGCTCCCCCTTGGCAGTGGCACTGGGCCTGGGGTGCAGCCCTCAGCAGGCATTGCCCTGCCCTTGGGGAGCAGTGCGGTGTGAGAGGAGGCCCGTGGAGACGGGCCTTGGGGGAGGGCGCTGTCGGGAAGGGTCGGTGCCGCAGGCACGGCGTCCCTCAGGAGGCCCAGACGGAGGCGGAGACGGTGGGCCAGGGTCTGCGCGGCCGGCTGGGGAGAACTCTTCCTGTCTGGCCGGCCCCACCTGCAGACTTGGTCTCAGCTGGGAGGCAGGGAGGCTGCAGGCTCTGCCCTTGGGGACTTTGCGCCGCGTGGTAAGCGCCCCCCAGCAGTCTGTGTGGTAGGGGCCCAGTCCCCAGCTGGCCCTGTGTCTTAGGGTTCCACCACCTTCCCAGCCGCTGACCAGGTCACAGCCCGTCGCTATTCCTGTGCTCTGTGTGGGGTCCCCTGGCATCGGGGTGATGGTGAGAGTAATTGGCTTTGTCCACTGCTTGATACTTTACAGAACCTTTTGCTACAGTGTTGGGTGCCACCGTGGTAAGCACATGCCTTGCCTCAGTTTACCCGCACACGAGCAGTGCGAGGCCGGGGAGGAAGGGTGGAGCAGGCCCCTAGCTTGTCCATGTCACCTGAACCCAGGCCTGCAGACAGATCCGGTGACCTCTGTACCTGGGTGACCTTTCGTATCCAAATGGAATCTGAGCAGTGAGCTGGATTCAAGGTCTGGCCCAAGCGACATAAGGATTCTCCATTCTTTCATTCTCCAGTGGAGTGAAAACCTGCACATCTGCACAGTGCAGAGAGGGGTGTGGGCCGGGGGATGTTTCTACCCACGTGGGATCTTTACTGCTGTATTGAGCAGTTGGAGGTCCTGAGTTATGGAAGGGTAAGTCATGAAACCGCACATTTTGTGGGTCACCACAGTGACGTGAGCACCTGTGTTTGCACGTGGAGACCAGATACTGACGCGTTTCCTGCCTTTTATTGCTAAGGAGCCAGTGAGTGAGGGGCAGGACCCACAGCCCCCCAAGCAGGCAGCCAAGCCATGTGCGGAAGTGGCCACCAAGCTTCCCCCGTCCAGTGCCAATGGCCCCACGGAAGAGCAGGCTCAGGTGAAGAAGAATAAAAGGGAAAGGAAGGAAGAACGGCAGAAGAACAGGAAAAAAGAAAAGAAAGAACTGAAATTAGAAAACCATCAAGAAGATTCAAAGAGTCTGAAGCCTAAGAAGCACAAAGCGGGGCAGGAGACTGGCCCAGAGGCCGAAGGCTCGGCAGGGAAGAAGGGCAAGAAGAGGCAAGGCCAGAGCAAGCAGGTGGCGGAGGGCGGGCACGCCAGCGAGGAGACCAAGCCAGCTGCAGGGAAGAGGAGGCGGACGCACTCGGAGGGTACGTGGCTGGCGTGCGCCCGAGGATTGGCACCAGCACGGGGTCCGTAGAAGCTGTCGGCCTGTGTTTGGAGCGCAGTAAGGGAGTAAGCTCTGGGCTCAGACTGACCCGCACTCGGGCGGGTGGGGCCTTGTGCTGTCCTCCTCACCGCCGGGCGGTGCAGCTCGTGGCTGGGTGCCAGGAGGGTGAGGAAGGCGATGTGTCTGGTGGGCCTGTTGTGAGCAAGGCTCTCAGTAACGTGTGGTTGGTGGTTTTTCTAAATGCTTAGGTGAAGCAGACTCTAAGAAGAGAAAAGTGGCGTTTCCGGGACACTCTGAGGATGGAGAACCAGAAGATGGAGAAACTCCCGCAAAAGGTGCCTCGCCATCATGGGAAAGCACTGTCCAGTTAGCCTGGAGAAGGGGCCCCAAGATGCCCTGCTAGGGTGGACCAGGCTTGCGTCAGGGGCCTGCCCTTCAGTGCTCTGGGCGAGAAGTATCACAGGGCCGAGTTCCTCTGCCTTTAAAGAAAAGCAAGAGGAGCCTGGGCTGGAATATAGGTATCAGCTCTCCGTCCCGTGACCATTACCTTAGGCGATCCATCTGTGGAGAGAGACGTGTTTGGGCCAGCGGTGTCAGAGGATTTGGTCCACAGTTGGCCCCAGGCTTTTGGGGCCCTGGTGGGGAGGCAGCTTGTGGTGTTGAGATGGAGCGGAGCTGCTTGCTTTTTGTCTAGGAGGTGAGAGGGGAAGAGGAGAGAACCATGTCCCACTGTCTTCTCCAGGGCAGCTCTCCCGGCCCCAGCTCTTAAAGGCTCTAGCATTGCCACCAGTGCCAGGCAGAGTCCCAGCCTTTGAGGCCCTGCAGGGGACACTGCAGATCCTGCCCACAGCAGGCGTTGCCTTTGGGTTTAAGAGGAACCCGGAATGGCTTTTCGAGGCCTTGCTCCTCCTGTCCTGCCCCGTCCTCTTGCTCCTGCCTCTTGCCAGTCTGTCTCGAGAACTCCCCCGATGGAGGCCAACGTGGCTGTCCCCTCCGCATCTGCCACCACCCCGGGTGCTGTTGGAGCCCTGGCCCTGTCCTCCAGGGGTCCTCGTTGTGCAGCCTCTCCCCCAGAGCTGCTCGTGCTGGGAGGCAGCAAGTCCTCGCCTCTGTGTTCCCACCCTGTCCTGCCAGTCAGGAACTCAGACCCAGACGGGACGGCAGCTGGGGCAGTGGAGGCCGGTTGGAGGCCCGGGTTGGGTTGGATTTCCTAGGTTGAAACCCCCTCCCAGCTCGTACACAGTGAGCTTTTTATGAGTATTCTTTAAGTCATAGATTTGTGCGCGGCTGTAAGAGATAATTGAGCTTTAAAGGTCCTTGCGTGTCCATGCACACCTTTCCGAGTCGCCCCATGCTGCCTGTACACACGATTCCAGATTCTTGGCTCTCCTTAGCGTGAGGACAGAGGCGGTGCCTTCTGGAAGTGCGGCCTGGATGAGTGACTTTGGCAGTCACCTGTGCTTCTCCCCTCATTCAAGACGAGGTGGCTTTGGCTCTCGCCTTGCACAGCCCTGTGGTGTTGGTGACGCTCGCTGCGTCCTTTTGTGGGGTCCGTCAGATCCCAGTGACCTTTTCCTGGTGCTCACGATGCCTGTGTCACTTCTCACTGTGAGAACAAGGGCCCGTGCCTGGGCAGACAGGAAGCCACTGTTACTCAGCACTCTGGCACCGTTCATGGGAGGAGGGCTTTTCCCAGCGAGCACTGCATGTGCAGAAATCGCTTGTTTACACTTCAGAGTGTGTCATGTGTAACCCTTTATATTGCAGGTAAATTCAACTGGAAGGGAACTATTGAGGCAGTTCTGAGACAGGCCCCGGATAATGAACTGGCAGTCAAGAAGCTGAGGAAAAAGGTACAGCATATGAACAGGCAGCTGGGGAGATTTTATCTTTAATGTACACTTCTATTTTTTTTTTTTTTTGGTACCAGGGATCGAACTCGGGTCCTTGCGCTTGTGCAGCAGGCAGCGAAACCACTGAGCTAAGTCCCCGGCCCTACACTTCTATTTTCATAACCTAAAATCCAGTAGGAGAACAAGAGAGAGTGTGTGTCTGTGATTCCCAGGTGGATGCTTTGCCCCTCGGGGTCTGGGGCAGGAGTTGAGCCAAACCTGTCACGGCTGGCAGACAGGGCCGCGCCTGGACACCATACCTGCCTCAAAGACTGGAGACAGGCTCTAGCCAGTGAATGTGCGCTATACTTCACTCGCCTTTGCTCATTCCAGCGCAATGGTTTCTTCCTTCTTCCCCGCGTGTCCCAGTGTGACATAGCCTCGTGGACTGTGGTCAGCACGCTGCTGGCCTTTCCCTGAGTTAAACAGCAAACCTTGAGGATACATTTCCAGGACAGATGGACCCATTTGACCTTGTTTTTCTTTGTGAAGGTCTTGGCTCAGTACTACAAGGTGACGAGTGACTCCCACAGGTCGGAGGAAAAGCTCCTGGTCATCTTCAACAAGAAAATCAGCAAGAACCCCAGCTTCCGGTTGTTAAAGGACAAAATCAAGCTTCTGAAATGATCATTTTGATATTTAGAAGCTGAGTCCATTGTGTCAACTTCTTCCTTTCACTGCTGTTTGTAAAATGTGTAATGAGTTATAACAACCTCAATTTTGCTTTCTAAAGCCGTATTTTTAAGTTAAGGAAAAAATACATTTTTGTTAGAACTTTTATGAAAAGATAAAATATATTCTTGTCCAAAATTCTAAATCTTTGGTGGCAGAAATTATTGTAGTTTTAAAAAAAATTTCTATGTGGGAAGTTTCTCTAGATGTAGTGCAGTGACAAGTCAAAAAGAAATTCCTCCTCTGATCTGACTAATAAGTGTTCATTTGAACCACACCGCGTCTGTGCATTTCTGTCAGACTTTTTTTCTTGTTTCTCTGTACTGTGAAAATCGTCTGGTGTTGCAGTATTTGGCCCAGCCTGGTGGTGACAGGCCTTTCGCATGTGATGATCCGTGTTTGGTCGGAAGTTCTTCTCTGTGGCAGTCTAGCCACTCACGCTGAGGGCCCGGCTCCCTTCACCCGGACGGTGACTGCACTCAGGGGTGTGACTGTCTCTCCCTGGGAGCGGTAAGGACGGTGCAGTGGCCCATTTCGCCCGCTGACTGCTGGCCCTGTGCTCTGACTGGGTGGAACGCTTCCGGCATTGCTACTGCGAGTCCTGGTTTATGGGGCTGGCAGGGGCCGCGTGCCATCCCTTCCCCACAGTGCAGTCTGCCCACAGGTTCCCTGAGAGCCGTGCTTCTGGAAGGAATCGCCCCCGTTGGCAGTGTCAGCTGTGTTCCGCCCTGCGTGTGAAAGCCAGAGTGGGACGGAACAAGGGCCGCGCTGTGGGATCGAGGGTGGGGCGGGCGGAGCGGGCGGGCGGGCGGGGGAGGAGGTGGCCCGTGCCAGCCCCCAGTGCCGCAGGCGCCCGGCCTCTTCGCTCCCAGCCCTGTCCCTGCAGAGCTGTGATCCGGGAGGTGCCTCGGGCTGATGACCCGGTGCAGGATCGGGCCTGTCATCGGGTGCTGGCTTGTCACTCACCAGTCAGCCTCACCGAGCCGCACGTTCCTCGTCCGGTTCGCTCCTGGTGACTGAAGGAGCTAGTAGAGTCGCAGGCCCAGGCCTAAAACCCACCCGGCGGCTGCTGTCCCCTCTGGCCCCAGAGCGAGGGAATCCTCAGGCCTGCTGGAAAGCAGCGGAAAGTAAGGGTTGGCCCAGGCCCTGCACCTGCTTCAGAACAAAACCCAGATGCAGCCATCCCAGGATGTCCCCTTTCTGGCCCTCCGGGGGGTACAAGTGTCCCCACTGTCCTCAGCACACAGCCAGGTGCGCAGTGACCCTGTCAGACGAGGGTATAGAGGCACCACAGCATTTCAAATGTGTGTCCGTTTGTATTTTTCTGTCAAAACACTGTCCATGTCAGCCTCACTGTGACAGAATTAAAGTGTGTACTCAATGCTGTGGTTGAGTACTCATTTCTGTCATCCTCGTCAGCTGTTAGCCAGGCTCTGAAGGGACCTCCAGGCACAGCAGCCATCCCTGGGGACTGGGGAGGTGGCCTGTCTCCAGCACCACAAGGACAGAGAAGCAAGGCTAGGGACAGCGTCCTGTCACAGAGGGGTCTCCACTGGAGGCCAGGCTGGTGGTGGGAGGGCCTGCTCCCTCCCTGAGTCTTTCCCACGAGCCCTCCACAGAGCCCCTTCCTCAGTTGTGGCAGCTGCTTGCCTGAGCCTGACTTGATTTCTACCCACGCATGACCTTGAGGCTCCAGGGGGGACATTAGAAACGGAGCCATTGACATTCATGTCAGGCTTCACGGCTCCACCTTGGCTGAGTTAAATACAACATCAAAGGCTACCATGTTCTGCCTGTGCTGAGGGCAGTGTCATGGGTCTGGCGCTCAGGAATCCCCAGACTTGCTGGCGATACATTTGGATGCACTGTTGTCTTATCTTGATGCCTTAATTCTTTTGGTATTGCTGGCATTTGCCAACTGTGTCTTGGCCATTTGCCATGATGCTGCTTAGCAAGCAGAATTTGGGACCAGATGGGTTTGGTCAGCTTCCAAAAGACAAGGATGTGTGACTGTCGTTTGCTGGGACCCCTCACCGTCAGGCTCACGAGGCTGAGAACAATGTGTGTGAGCCACAGAGTGGACGGGCTGCTTGAAGTCACAGGGATTCTGACAGTTGATGGCCAAGGGGCATTTGGATGGAGAAAGCTTAAAAACTGCAGAATCACCCAAGGTTTCCCTTAGTGAAGTAAGTTGACCCCTCTGAGAACTAAGGCTTTTCCAGAATCTTGTTCCTAGTTTAAACCACCTCACAGGTGGCTATGGGGATAAGCTAATGACAGCCCAAGATCAATAACAGTTTTACAGATCTGCAAACTCACACCTTTGAAAAGCTCTCATGTATCGTGAGTATCTTGTTTTTCTTTCCAAAACTGAGTTGACCAAGTGCACTAAATTATTTCCTTTGTTAATTTCACTGGCCTATGATTGCTTCTTTCCCATTATAGATTTCCAAGAATTAAAAAAAAAGTGCTCCTTGAAAACACCTTCATAGTTGAATAAGGAAGGTTTTCAGAGACCAGTGCTTTACCCAGTTCATCTCCATTTGCACAGGCTATTGGCAGCGTCTCTTAGTTCTCTGTTCCTGCATTGAAAACTGGTCTTCCTCGCTGGTTTTATCTTTTTTTGTGCAGTGATACATCTGGACTCCGGTGTAAAGGAGATAATTATTGCTGACTTTTATCTGAATACGGAGCCAGTAGGATTGTAAGTCTTTCCTCATGGAAGGAAATTGGAGATCATTTATGGTCTTCATCCAAGATAAGAGAGAAGGCATATTCTATACATTTGCCAGTACCTCGTGGTTCCTGCATATCTCTCTCTCTCTCTCTGTCTCTCCTCTCTTTCTCTTTCTCTCTCTCTCTTATTCAGCTTTTATTCTGTCTTCCAATTAAGTTTTCAAGAAATGGCTAAGATCAGCTTTCTAAATTTCTCTTACTGAGCTGAAGAGGGGATATTACAAAGTGTTATTTTATAGTGATTCCTCAATTCCATGTGGGCAAGAGGTTTGTTGTGTAGTCAATACTTGGTATCCCTCTAATAAAGTGGCTTTTGGTCAAAGGGACAGTACATACTTGTCCCTTTCATTTTCAGAGGAGAAACTGCTGGTCACGTCTTACATGTGTTTCCACATTTCAGCAGCCCCAACACGGGGTAGGGATGTGGCTCAGTGGCAGAGCACCCACTCTCTAGCACTGGAAGGTGTCCTGATGTCTTGTGCACACCCAGCTTTGCTTTTCCTCAGCCCTTTGTCATTGAAGCTGTTCTGCATCACAGGACCAATCACGCCAGACCCACACATGCATACACACACACACACGCACACACGCACACACGCTACAGAGTAGCAGCTCCCTGCCTGAAAGAATGACACTTTAGCCATATTCACACATAAAGAAACTCAGGATCTCACTCAGCTCACTTAGCATTAGACTTCTGTAATTTGGGGTTGGGCTTTCTAACTACTGTTGGGTTACAAAACAGGGAGATTTCTTCAAAAAAAAAAAAGTGCGCTGGTGGAAAGAAACTCTTTGTTTCCTTTTTGAGTGCAAATGCTTCTTTGGCTTTTTTTTGTTATAAGATCCGGGAAGCTTTAATTTATTCCCTTTGACAGGAGTGATTAAACGGCCCCTTCGGTGGTTGAAGCTGTAATTGCTGAGTAAATACATATGTTTGTGGGAGCTTGAAGGTCAGACACTGCTCAGGAGGTCAAGCCTTTGTTGAGCGACAGAGCAGCTATTGTGAGCTGCTCAAATACCCTCTGCGCCTTCTCCCTTCCCGCTGACCTCAGGCCGACTTGTGTCGCAGGCCTGCGGTCGATCATATATTAGATTTCTCTGTTGCAGATCAAAGCGCGGTAAAGGTCCAATTCTACTGGGTCTTTCTAACTGCATTGCTTTGGGGATTTGGTATCAAGTTCGAATCAGGAGACTAATAGTAATGTCATAGGATAGTCCCGCTCTGGCCAATTTTATACTGAACAGGGAGGTATTATACTGCTGAACTCCAACCAGCAGGCTGTTGGAGGTTTCAGGAAGAAGCTAAAGTCACAGAAATTTCTCAACTTTAAGGTGTCCTGCCTTAAGATTTCCTAAGCCTCTTGGCTCCTGTGGCCATGAGAGTTGGGCTGAGATGCTGGAGAGTTGTCATGAACTTGTAGAGCACTGGATTCTTTCCTGCTTACTCCATCCTTAGTTCATGATGTTCCACAAAAGCACCTGCCGCCTACTGTTTGAATGCATTTGATTCAGAGGGCAGTGGTTCCAGAAGCTGTAATGACAGCAGTCACTGCACTTGGGGGACCACCTGCACCCAGTGGTGTTGGCTCCACAGCTGGGTCACCTCACAGGTGGGTCACAGCACCGAGGCTGGGATCGGGACATGGCCACCCTTCCCTGGCGGCCAGCGATCTGCTCGTCACTGCCCACTATGAAAGACTGGTGCTTTTTCCCCTGTGTTTTGTTTTTCTTTAACTTGCGGACCCGTGGAATCTGTGTGAGATGCAGTGATGGTGTTTGGGTGAGGCCCCCCAAAGAGGTGTGAAGTCCGGTCGACCCCTGTGTGTTCAGACTCCCGCCTCCCCTACCGATGCCAACTTGGAACTCTTGGGTTTTTCTAATGTTGGCAAAGATTTGCTCATAGATCTTCAAAATGTGTTTGAGCCAGGCCTGGTGATGCACACCCATAATCCTAGCACTCTCGGAGGCTCAGGCAGAAGAAGAGCAAATTCAAGCCCAGCCTGGGCAACTTAGCAAGACACTGACTCAAAATAAAAACAAAATAAAAAATGGCCTGGGGAAGTGTCTTGGTGCAAAGACGCCAACAAAAAAGGACCATACTCACAAAAAACGTGTTTGCACATTCACTCCATGACTCGGTGAGCAGGTGTTGAGGCTTTGAAGGGAACGACCTGCAGATTCTCCTCGTGGTGAATGCAGTGCTCTGTTGTGCGAGCCTGGTATGCACACCCTGGGACACGCCCCTGGCCAGCAGCAGCAGGCACGTTTTCTCCAGCTACCGCTCTTGCCTGCTGGCAGTGGTCTGCTGCTGCTTTTCAGGATTTTGAGGCCCTAACCTGGCTCTTAGGAAAGAAATGTGGTGACAGATTCTCACCTTCTGCCTCGGCATGGTTGAGTATAGGCGACCAGGTCACAGTCTGCCTCTGACTCTGGGGCTTTTCATTGGCGGATTCAACCAACCAGGAGCCAGAAATACTCCAAGAAGAGTTGTGCTGTACTCGTCATTATTCCCTAAACAACATGGTCTAAGTGATTTCCG